TTGCCATTGTTCCTTAATACTCTGCATCTAACCTCACTATTACTTACCCGGTTATCCCAGCAGGCACCGGCAATATTTCTAGGGCATCTGTGGTCAAATACTAGTAGCTTACGAGTGTCTTCTACTCTTAATGACCATGTTTCGCTGCCGTAAATAAAAACAGAACGGACTGTCGCGCAGTATACTCGTCCTTTTATTAATAGACGGATATCTGGCCTTCGCCATAGGTGACGTAAGTTGACAAAAGCCAAACGAGCTTTTCGAATCCGTGCAGAATTTTCGTCAGACACCAACTCATTAGGGCTGATCAGACTTCCAAGATAAGTGAAGTTGTCAACGCGTTCGACTACTTCACTGCCTATCCTTAGTTCAGGTGTTGACGGAGACCAGTCCTGAAGCAACAACTTGCATTTAGAGGGAGAGAAGCGCATTACAAACATTCTGGCATTGTTGCTTAGTGCTACCAAAAGACTCTGCATTTTATCAGCGACTTCCCCAAACAGGACTATGTCATCCGCGTATTGTAAGTCGATAAGTGGACCTCCTGGAAGGAGATCAATACCCGAGAATTCAGTCGACGAGAATGTTATTTACATCTCTGGGCTAATGTGGTATGGCAACTCGAACTGACCTACGTACGTACGAAGTTCTACGTTGTTACTGACTGACTGACTATTTCCATCAGTAGGTCTATGATGAAGTTAAACAAAAATGGGGAAAGTGGACAGCCTTGACGGACACCACTTGAGGTTGCAAAAGTAGATGACAGTTCGCCATAAGCTCTGACTCTACTGGTTGTGTTCGAGTAAAGAGTCTTTACAAGGTTTATGTACTTCTGAGGTACGCCTTTCAATGACAGACACTGCCACAGAATATCGCGGTCTATAGAGTCAAATGCTGCATTTAAGTCGAGAAAGACCACCATTTTCGGACGTTGATAAGTATGCCTGTGTTCTAGAATCTGACGAATGGTGAATATGTGGTCGATGCAGGCACGACCAACCAGGTCTGAAGCCAGCTTGATTCTCTCGTGTTTGCAGTTCACGAGTCTTAGTTAGGCGTCTGATAATTATCGAGGCTAGTATTTTAGATATTATATTAGTTAAACTAATCACTCTATGGTTGTCACAGGATGATTTTAACCCTCTCTTATACATTGGGACGATAAGTGATTGTGACCAGTCAGATGGAATAACGTCTAACTCCCAGATCTTAGTTAAAATTGTAGTCAACCTAATCGCTAAAATTGGACCAGCATCCTTAAAGACCTCTGGAGTCAATCCATCTGGACCAGCTGACCTTCCTCGTTTCAGATTAACTATAGCCTTTTGAACTTCTGCTAGAGTTGGGGGACACTGTCTGAGAATGTATGGTAGTTGTAGAGTAGCTGAGGGCCAGCTGAACTGTTCTATGGAATGTTCCGCCCATCGTTCTAAACGTCTGGACTGAGAACAGATGAGGGTGTCGTCTTTTTCCGAAATAGTCTCACTTACACTCGACTTAGTAATTCCAGTTTCTTTTATTAGTCTGTAGAGCCGCCTTTTCCATCTCTTTTGCTTTCGTTGCCCACCACTGCTCACGGTCGTTCCTTAGACTTTTGGTTAACCTAGATCTGATTTGTTGTCGCTGTTCATCGCGTTCAGAGCCTGATGGGATGAGTTTACGAGAATCCATCAGTGCAATAGACCTTGAGGAAGTCCATTGGTTCTTTGTAACCCTGTGGTTTAAATCACTGATAGATGTCACTGCTGTTTCCATATCTGTTTGTATAGCTTTCCAAGCAACATCTGGTTCAACCTCGTTTTCAGAGCCACCGAATTGTGACCTCAGTTGTTCCTGGAACCTACTTTTGGTTTTCTCGCTACTCAATTCAGTTCTAATGGGTCTTTTTACTGTGGCTGTTTTGCGTCCAGTGAGGCGCAAGCAGATGCGTGCCCGTATTAGCGCATGATCGGAGTCCAAGCAGGTACTCCAGAATGAACGACAATCTTCTACCGACCCTCTCCAATGATGACTGATGGCAATATGGTCTATTTGAGTCCATCGTTGGTTTGGTGTAGGGGGTCGCCTTGTTAGACGATGTCTCTCTTTATGCTTAAAATTTGTGTTTGCTAAAAATAAACGATTGTCTGAGCATAGTTGCAGCAGACGATCACCATTATCTGTTCGCTGTGCCGGTATACTAAAATACCCACCTAAATGCCTGTCTGTTTCGTTTAAACTACCTATCTGGGCATTAAAGTCACCTGCTACGAGTACTATGTGTGAACGTTTAGCTTTCTGAAGAAGTTCAGAAAGCTTTCTGTAAAATTCATCTTTCACTTCATCTGGGCTGCAGTCAGTGGGAGCGTAGGCAGAAACGACAAAAATGCAATGACGTATGTCCCTATCCCTCCGAGTTTATACGAAGCCGTTTAGCCGAACAGCACATAAACGACTGTTGACGGGGATCCACTCTAACAGTGCTTGTTCCGCCCTCATGTTTAGTGCTATCCCTACTCCTGCCAGTTCACGAGAACTGGCCGTCAGGTCACCAGATACACGGAGGGTGTATCTCGTTGGCTCTCCGTTTTGCCGAGGTGAGGTAAAGTGAATGACCACACTGGGATCCTGTATGCGTGTTTCAGAGACACAGCATACATCAATGGTACAAGATTCTAGGGTTCTAGCCAAGGAAGCCTGTTGACCGATTTGACATAGGGTGCGTACGTTGAAAGCTCCAATGTGTAGTTTGGAGCGAGGTTTCAGTAGACCTGGGACAGTGTTTTGAGCACTAGAGTCGTTGGCTATGGTGACACTTGAGATGGAAGCCAAAAAAGGAAGTTTAAAGGTGAAAGTCGATGTAGGAGAAATAATAGGAAGTGAAGACGGAGGTTGATTATGAATACAGTGGTCTTGAGTGATGTTAGAGTTATGCGAGCGGTTATCACTTCCCGGTTGCCTACACCGTGGAAGGGTTGTTCTGGAGGTACCTGAAAAGGAAATTGGTTTAGACGTGGTCTTGGTGACCTGGGAGCGTGACCACAGTACCCAAGGGACAACTGCTTGAGGTCGGTCACACACGACCTTTTTATGGTTAATTTCTGTGTTAACTCCGTACTTGTTGAGACCTTACCGCCGGAGACGGATATCCGTGGGATAAGGCGAGATGTGCATTTTTAGGGTCGACCTCTTTTAACCCCACCTCTCGTTGTGGGAAGGCAGCATCGCTGTCATGCTGGTTGTGTGAAGGAAAGACCTTACTGCTGTCACAGCTCTGTAAAGCCAGCAGTGCGACTTCGCATTCGGACATTGGGAACTGGAAAGGATTGTCCACGACAGAGTTGGATGGAGAATGGTGGTGGTTGGCATATGCTCCTCCACGAAGGGTAACGGGCGTAAGTGAGTAAGTAAGTAAGTAAATAAGTAAGTGCTGGATGACTATGAGTTGCCGCCTATCACTAAAACCAACATCAATGTAATCCATTGCAGTTCACTCTGCCAATTTCATTTCGTTTTTCTGAAATAATATGACAATTTGAGACGATGATTATGCACACATAAATAAATTGATGACTTTGATTACACTATAATGCAAGATTAATACCAAACCACTTACTTCAATGCATTTTTATACAACTTCTCTGTTATGTATTCACTGCACAAACTATTTTCGAAGCTCAAATAAAACTTGTAATTTTCGCGAATCATTTTCAGGCAGCTATCTGATGAGGTAAAAGTCGGATTATACTTTGGACAGGATAACGTGCCACAATGACCATAAATATCAAGCTGAAAATAGAAAATGAATCGGTGAACTACGAAACAGATAAATTACATATTTTAACGATGAAGCTGGTAACCGCATCGAATTCACTGTGCGTATGTTTGATAAAACGATCAGTTCCCTCCTAAAATTTTAATAGTTGAGTTCGTAAGCAGATCTAAACTAGAACATCATTGAAAACGTGAGAGCACTGCACAGGCATTTCGGCCTAACTATGGACACATCAACAGCAGCACTTCTGTATCCAGCATTTCTAAATACCCATCATGAACACAGTGAGCTCACTCATGTACATGCATATAACACTTGGACATAAAAGTCAGTGATCAATGAGTATGGTGTAAGGATACCTGGATTGGCAATCTTGTGAGATCAGTTTAAGGAATAGTCACATGTAGTTATATTGATCCAGTGATACAGTTCCCGACAAACTGGCGATTCGATGAAATCATCTTCAATCTGAGCACTATCCCTGACATTTCTGGGATGCTCATTTGTTTATATGTGTAGACTAACCAACTTGTACATTTATAGGATAAATTCTCAATGAAGTGAAAGACAATCAAATATTCATAGTTGGTGATATTGATTATAAATTCCAGTAATGAACATACATCGTTATAAAATCGAACACCTTCACTGGTCGTTAAACATCAACAGTATATGACCAATCAGTAACTATGAAACCTCGCTCAAAAGACCGTGAAAGTGAGCAATGCTAAAGATTGAATGCTTGAGGCCCTTATATGTGTTTATCTATTTTGCTACATGCTGGAAAGTAGGTATTGCTAAAGAATCAGTGCTTGAACTCCATCGAGAACGCATGCGTGATCGAGAAGTCGGAGTTTCAGAGATGGAGACCTGTTGTCAACGCAATGATAGAACATACAATCGTGCAGATGTGGGAATAGTACACTGATGATATATACTTTACGCATTGCTCTGAATCAATCAAGACAATTTCGGTAGACCTTGTTTCATTATATTCCAATCATTATTAGTTCGTTTCTCCTTCATTTGAACCTACAGGATCCAATCAACTTTCCAATCACTTTTATCATCATGTCAGAAGAAATGATTAATAACATGAAAATCACTCTCATCACGAATTAGTTCCGAGTGACAAAAGTTGCATGCTTCATGCTGTATGCATTTAGTCTTTCATCAATTGTTGGTCTCACTGAGATCATTGAAAAACATTTAGAAACTCAATGCTAAGCTTTGTCAAACTCACCGGGATATGTCGTGAAAGTTCTTTGGCGTATTGCATTCTTGGACTTTTCGGTATACAGTTACTCACAAACCATGCAACTTTCTTTGATTTCCCAGTAGCGAAGTTTCTAGAAGGTAAAGGATATCGTGTTTCTGGTCCATGGTGCTTCATGTATGGCTCATAGGAACCGTATGGTGAGTAAATCGTTGAATCCAGACGGAAGGAGATAGTGTAATTAATCTTGATATCAGAGGGATAAATCCAAGTAAAATGATATCATGGATATTGAAATGAATGAGCAAGTTAGTAGTTTTGATATTAGAATAATGTTTTAGTAAAGTGGTTCGTGGGTAGTGTTTAGTTTTGTCGTTTTGGATTATAGATTAACGGTACAGACCTGAGTGTTTTGATCACGACCTCTGGTGTGGTGGTGTATTTACAATGCTCAAGAGTTCTTTACTAAGATGAAATATCTGTTCAGTGCTTCCTGGTTTTCAAAGGTAAGAGTTTGTGTATTGTATCCAAAATAAAGGAATATTTACAAGTAGATTAGTCTTGCTCGTGAATAAACATGACATATGTAATTAGTGACATCTATGATTCATGTGGACAAATCGAAATCTCTAACAGTCTATTTATTATGCAAATTCATTTGTGTCAATTAGTTGCATAGATGCAAACGAAATGATAGAAAATCAACCCGATAATGGTGACATGAATGACACGTCGAAAGTATTTACGACAGGTTTTTACTGATTAGTTTAAGCGGATATTAGGCATATATATAACAATGAATAATGAACAAAGTATAGAGATCACTTGTTCAATGTATCTACCGCAACAGTGAAATCTACTGTTAACAAATAAATGTTAGTATAAGGATTCGAATGAAGTAAGCTCCCGAAAATGTCTTGAACGCAGCCAAAGAACGATGCTGTCTAAGTTTTTTTGGGTTTACAACCTGTACCTATTAAATCCTAACTACAGGTAATATGCCTTGTGGCATATTACATAGATATATCAGAATATCCTCTAATAGTGTGGTTAATAATATTTTGGAAACTGTCGGTTTTCTGTAGAATGAAAATATACTTCGAGTATGATTTGACTATCACTCCTTTATATCTATATTCTGAACATATTAAAGAAATTTTCAATCAAATGGTATTTACTGATCTAAATGAAGGCGTACATATTAACGTTCGCTAATCGAAAACAAGCTAATTGGTTAGTGGATGATCCTGGAGGTGAATGAATAATCGAGTGATATTTAAGCGATCAACATTTTAGCTAGTGTCTATCATGTGATCTAGTGGTCATCACGCTACAAAGGAATATACGAATTGTGTCTGTTCTTATAAGATTGTTTGTTAAGTAAGTTAACAAAAGGGCTTAACCAAAATTAACCATAATCGAAATTGGTTGTAAGATAGTTGCGATAATAGTGTAAAGTGGTGAAATGAATTCTATGGAGTTCCGCCAAGAGGTGAACATTATTTTCATTTGAATAATTGAATCTTCAGTTGGAAACTATATAAAATTTCATGAACTAATCAATGAATATGCATTAAATTAATGAATGTCTTCACCTGAATTCGAACATTGACCACGAATTCGAAGCTAAAATTGCACACGAATTTATTTATTTATCTTCTTCAAAACTTCCCATTATAAAATCAATCACAGTGTAACATGTGTGCTAAAGCAAACCAGGTTTAAACGTTTTCGCTGGACAACTTCTACTGTTGTGTGACGCATAGGTATGTGTTTCATGGGAATTCATAAACTTCACACAATTAGTCCATTTCGTGGATCAAAATGAAGAATGGTGACATTATTCGTTGAGTAACACGAATCTATTCACACTTTGTAGTCCTCGTCAGCTACATACAACCGTAATGAAATGATAAAGATTAGTAATATTACTATGGTCAGAATTACTCACTTCATTTTCCAGTGTACCTGCCATAGCAATATGTACAGGCGACTCTTCTATTAAACTAAACCATAATTGCTCTGGAGGTCGAATTCCATTCGGCACTTTATCTTCTGTCAGTATAAGTGCATCAGCTTCTCGCCATCTGTTCATGTCAGTGATAACTGCACATTTCGAAGCATGACATTTTGAAAAGTTCATTGGTCTAAAAATTGTACGATGCCCATAGTTGAGAAACGTCTTCACCTGAAACATGAGTTGATACAAATTCATGTGTTGATTTTCACAATTTATTGAGCATCATATCTAACATCTATTTTATACATAGTTCAGTAATCAAACGCACAAAATATGATTTCGTCAATCTCATATCCAAGTGAACGGTATATGTCCAAATGTTTTATGGAATGGATATAGTTGTGAGCAGCAATGGAAACTAGGATTCGAGGTTCTTTCCTTCGGAGATTCATCAAAATCCAGACAAGATTATAAACAATGGGATAATTTACAACCTTTCTATCAATGATATTTATCCTGATGGTTAGTAGTGATGGCGAGGTTTATTATTGATGTCATTCATGCAATTGATGCCATTTGAATGAAACGAACACGAGATGTGAGCATCAATTTGATGGAGAGTTTGAAACGGACGTTATTTCACACTTGTCATCCAGAAACATCTGAAGAACGTGTCTTCAACTCCTCATATATCTCACCATACACATTCCACTTACAAACATCATCTCTCAACCAAAGTTTCTGTGATGATTCAACAACAGACCTGGTGGTGAGTGGATCACTGTGACGTAAACTACTGTGAAATTGAACAATGTACACAAATATTATGCACACATAATCTCGATCATTTTGAAATACTAATGAATAATTAGTAAGGATCAGTTAATTAGAAGACAGTCAGTCTATTCAACATCAAAGAATATTTCTAATAGTTGACTTACCGTCTTATTCACACCCAATGAATCATATAATTTCTCAAGTCTATTTTCTTCCAGACTATATCTCAGTGGGTATTTTTGAACGGATGTTTTACTGATAGGGGAATATATTTTGTGTAATACACTAGCAAGATCTGATTCTGACCCGTTTGGAACAGATATATTATTGCACGAAAATTCTATTGTTTTAGGTATTACATCATGATCGACTTGATTGATTCTCCATTGAAAAAGACTTGGTAAAATGTTGATCAACCATATGATCAATAGAATAATTGATACACTGTACAACAATTTGACTGTCGATGTATATTTATCATTTCGTACAATTATATCAAAACTTTCACGCATGATGTTTATTACAGAAGTGATTGGACGTCAGTTATAAGGACTGATCACCAGAAATGTGCGATATTATCTGAAAATTGTAAAACAGTCATTAAAGCACTGATAACAATCACTGATTACAGTCTTTCAATAGTGAAATATCATAAGCCACATTATAACGCATTCATGTCATCTAGTTGAGAAAATATTCACGTAACATATACAATTGTTATTCATTGACAAATTGTTTATTGCCATATCAATTGCATGCACACCAGATTGTAGTGTGAAAGTACATTAATGTCATCAGTGTTTGATTTGTGAATTAATCGACTACTGTGCATTCCAAGCTTGAATCGAAGTCACTAATTGAAGCCTTTGATGAGATCACTAACCAATGAATGTAGGACACGAGACAGACGACTGTTTTGTCGCTAAATTAGACGGATCAGCAGTGTGCGTCCACGACAGTCACCTACTGGGAATCCAACCCAGTACATTGAGTCTCGTGTCTTAATAAAATGACTGCTCACTCACGATCAATTCATATATATGAATGAAAATATCCAATATAAATTAGTGATGTAACAAATTATCAACAATCGTTTTTTTGAATATATTCAGTTTACATTACCCATACCTTGGTCTATAGAATGATTCTGTTGAAATTGAAATGAATGGTGTACATTTCGGTCGATATATATATATATACAGAGAGAGAGAGAGTGAGTGAGAGATTATTACATTACGCCATTGCATTCATTAATTTTGATACATTATTACTTATTCAAATGATCATTGGTGAATTCAAGTATATACCATGTATTCGTATAATTGATCCAAAGACCACAACAACAACAACAACAATACAATAGTAATGAATTCATTTCATTTCAGTATTATTTCATGAATAAATTGTTTATTTATTTGTTCGTTTGTTTGTTTTTTTTTGCTCTTACATTCAGTATTGAGCATTAAATATTACTCATTTTTAAAATTATATACATGAGATTGGCAACTATTACTTTGTCCTACAGCCTGATGAATTTCTAACGCCTTGTAGCGGTAAATAAATCCCCAAAATAAATAACTCTGTAAGTCTTCGACATTGGATGCCGACTACATTGGTTTTAATGGACTCACCTAGCTGAAGGCGCTCGGTCATGCATCCGCAACAGATTACGTGTGGGATCGCCGTGCTTAAGAACCCCTGCAATAGCTAGCCAGATTAGATCAGACAATCCTTGATATATTGATAGCCTATCAAATATATCTTCAAACCTCCTTAGCTTCTGTATTTTGATTCGACTTGGTGGGTACGATTCATATTAGAAAGTGTTTCTGGTTAAAGCGTTGTCAAACAACGAATACCTGTGGCATCTTCAGCCTCTACAGTGGACAAGTTATTGTATGCACTATTTTTAAATCAAATCATCCAACTGTATAGATGATATTGAAAGATATATCTGATGGGTCAGTGTAACCAAAGTTCACAAGATATTCCAGTATTGAACTATTGATTGTTCTTCATTCGCCTTTTAAAAATCACAAAGGACTGTGTTCAGCTATGCGTTTGGGAAGAGCTCGCTGTGTACATTTTGATAGAGTATACTCAGAAAGATCGAAAGTAATCAAAAAATCGTTTCCTGAGGATTTCAGATATATATTACTGACATGTAACACGGAACCTATAGTGTCGGTTGCTATGTTAAGCACACATAGCTTATTCTGACCTCCAGACAAGCCAATTTATTCACCATTCTTCAGTCACATTTTAACCTTCTCAATTATTCGCTTATCAAAATTGACTGATTCTATGTAAGTGTATTTGTATATATTTCCTATCTTACCCACCACATGTCTGTAACTTAATTTTATTTCATTATAAATGTCGAATAATACTTGAATAAATCGAGTTGGCCAATACACCCTCTCCAATTCGCTTCACTCTTCTGTCTTTGTTTCGTCTCCTTGATTGCCTATTACAAATCAATGAGTGCTGAAATATACAAATTCTAAATAGATTCTCTTATTTGATTTATTTAATTCCGTTATTCATTAGTGCGAATTAATTCTTTAATTATATATGAGAATAGACGATATGTATATTTCAATAAACTCCGCCTGGAGTCCCTCCGGGGGCTACTGCCGGTCCCAAGCCCGGATAAAGAAGGAGGGTTGGGCATGGGGTTAGCATCCCCATCCCGTAGAAAACTAACTCGCTAAAAAAACGCTAACCAGAAAAAATTATTCAAACCTTTTAAACTCTACCCTGGGAGTCAGAAGGTCTTCATTTAGAAGAACTATGACGCCTCATGATGAAAGCCGAATTCCTTCGGAAGTTACGAGGCCAATGCCCCTTCTGACAACCAGCGCAAACACCGGGAGAGCCTTCCAAATTGCTGCAGAAATGAAAAGATACAACCTAGAAGTACTTGGGATCAGTGAAACACATTGGACGCAAGTTGGACAACAACGACTAACTACAGGAGAGTTCCTGTTATACTCCGGCCATGAAGAAGAAAATGCTTCACATACACAAGGAGTTGCATTGATGCTGTCCAAACAAGCACAAAATGCACTTATAGGATGGGAATCTCATCAACCAAGGATCATCAAAGCCTCCTTCAAAACAAAGAAAGAGGGCATTTCAATGAACATCATCCAATGCTATGCGCCTACCAACGACTACAATGAAGAAGCTAAAGATCAATTCTACAATAGGTTGCAGTCAATCATCGAGAAGTGCCCAACAAAGGACCTGACCATTCTGATGGGAGATTTAAATGCCAAGGTTGGAACGGACAACACTGGATATGAAGACACCATGGGACGACACGGACTGGGAGAAAGGAACGAAAATGGTGAGAGATTTGCAAACCTATATGCCTTCAATAAACTGGTCATAGGCGGCATCATATTCCCACATAAACGCATACACAAAACCACATGGACTTCACCGGGTCACACCACACAAAACCAAATCGACCATATTTGCATCAACAAAACGTTCAGGAGGACTACAGAAGACGTGAGAACCAAGAGAGGAGCTGATATAGCATCAGATCATCACTTCCTGGTCGCCAAGATGAAATTGAAACTCAAGAAGCACTGGACAATGGGGCAGACAATATCACAAAAGTTCAATACGGCCTTTCTTCAGGATACTAACAAACTCAATAAATTCAAGATAGTCCTCAGCAACAAGTTCTAGGCCTTTCATGATCTACTCAATGGAGAAGGAACTACTGTGGAGAGCAACTGGAAGGGGATCAAAGAAGCAATCACTTCAACATGTCATGAGGTCCTGGGTCACAAGAAGCACCATCACAAGGAATGGATCACTGTTGATACACTGGATAAGATTCAATAAAGGAGAAACAAGAAGTCAGCAATCAATACCAGTCGAACAAGAGCAGAAAAAGCCAAGGCACAAGCTGAATACACAGAAGTAAACAAACAAGTGAAGAGGAGCATCAGAACCGACAAACGTAAATATGTGGAAGATTTAGCAACGACGGCGGAAAAGGCTGCAAAAGAAGGAAACATGAGACAATTGTATGACACGACAAAGAAACACTCTGGAAATCGCCGCAAACCAGAACGACCAGTGAAAAGCAAGGAAGGCGAGGTAATCACCAACATTGAAGAGCAACAAAACAGGTGGGTAGAACGCTTCGAAGAACTCTTGAATCGACCAGCCCCACTGAACCCACCCAACATCGAAGCAGCACCCACGGACCTCCCAATCGATGTTGGCCCACCAACAATTGAAGAAATCAGCATGGCCATCAGACAAATCAAGAGTGGCAAAGCAGCAGGACCGGACAACATTCCAGCAGAGGCACTGAAAGCAGACGTAGCGGCGACTGCAAGGATGCTCCACATTCTCTTCAATAAGATTTGGGATGAGGAACAAGTACCAAAAGACTGGAAAGAAGGACTTCTGATCAAAATACCGAAGAAAGGCGATCTCAGCAAGCGTGATAACTACAGGGGCATCACTCTTCTCTCAATACCGGGAAAAGTCTTCAACAGGGTATTGTTAAACAGGATGAAGGACTGCGTAGACGCCCAACTTCGAGACCAACTGGCAGGATTCCGTAAGGATGGATCGTGTACAGACCAAATCGCAACTCTGTGGATCATTGTGGAACAGTCAATTGGATGGGATTCATCACTCTACATCAACTTCATTGACTACGAAAAGGCATTTGATAGCGTGAACAGAACAACACTATGGAAGTTTCTTCAACACTACGGCGTGCCTCAGAAGATAGTCAATATCGTACAGAGTTCATATGATGGATTACACTGCAAAATCGTGCATGGAGGACAGTTGACAAAGTCGTTCGAAGTAAAGACCGGTGTTAGGCAAGGTTGCTTACTCTCATCCTTTATCTTTCTCCTGGTGATCGACTGGATCATGAAGACGTAAACGTCTGAAGGGAAGCACGGGATACAATGGACATCTAGGATGCAGTTGGACGATCTAGACTTCGCAGATGATCTGGCCCTTCTATCCCAAACGCAACAACAAATACAGGAGAAAACGACCAGTGTAGCAGCAGCCTCAGCAGCACTAGGTCTCAATATAAACAAAGGGAAAAGCAAGGTTCTCCGATGCAACACAGCATGCACCAATTCAATCAAAATTGACGGAGAAGATTTGGAAGATGTACAGGGTGGATCTGATGCAGATGTGAAGGTGTGGATCGGTTGAGCAAGAGCAGCATATTTACAACTGAAGAACATCAGGAACCCAAAGCAACTGTCAACCAACACCAAGGTCAGGATTTTCAATACAAATGTCAAGACAGTTCTACTGTATGGGGCAGAAACCTGGAGAACTACGAAAGCCATCATCCAGAAAATACAGGTGTTTATTAACAATTGTCTACGCAAAATACTTCAGATCCATTGGCCGGACGCTATTAGCAACAAAGTACTGTGCGAGAGAACAAACCAGATCCCAGTGGAGGAAGAAATCAGGAAGAAGCGCTGGAAGTGGATAGGACACACAT